AGGAGGGACCAGTCCTTGGAGAGAGATGTCATGTTTGGGAAGGTAAAGTGACAGACAAGAAAGGAAGGCCCTCCATGAGATGGATTGATTCAGAGACAAGGGTAGTGAGGGTAGGTGTGTCAGAGACAATAAAGTTGACTCAGTATAGAGCAGGTTTCAGAGCTGTTGAACATAGGGTTGCTATGAGTCACAAGTGACTTGATGGCACATAACAACAATATGATGTACTCTCTGTATGCTTTTATTTTTTTAAAAAACCAAACAACATTGTTATTGCTCCCTTTAACATCTAGCCTATATTCTGCTTGTAGTTTTTAGCTAGTGTTTGTGCAGGAAACGTAAATTTGTTTTTAAAAAATACATGACAGGTACATATTCCCCTTTAGGTAAGAAAGTAAAAATACTACATTCATACAGTTACAACTAAAAGAACCCCCATATAGACAAAATCATACACATATATGGACACTATAGTGAAAGACATACACACATACAAGCATGCACACCTTTAACAAAGCCTAGTTGTGCAATATGTAACATGTCAGTCTGCAAATCAAAAAATCAGCACTTTATATCTACCAGCTAATCTCTAGGAAAGAGCTAGTAAAACTTCCAGTGTCAGAAATGAGCTGTGAATTGAATTCAACTCAGTGGCAGTGGACAGGTATATTTATCATTTGTATGATTACCATAGTATGATAACTGCATGATGTTACCTGTATCAACACAGGTTATAGTGGAACTGGTTATAGAATTTGTAATTGTACTTCTAGATACAAATTTAGATTGCCAAGACACTTCCTTCTAAAGGGTATGTATTTTTTTTTTCCTTAAAAGTTTGGCTTTTGTTTTCTATGTTTATCTTAATTAAATGGGCAAGTATCTTTGTAAACATTATAAATGTGTATTGGTCATTCAGAATTAATAGGATGGTTCCTTTGAGTTTAGAAAACATTTAAGACAGCCTTTTAAACATTTGAGGGGAAAAGTCTTAAAGTTGTATCATAGTTTTTTAATATCTTCAAAAAGTAATTGACTTCACAAACACCAGCTGTAACATGATTTAGACAACTGAGAAACAGGCAATTATATTTTAAATGCTAAAATGAAATACATTTATACAAGTACAAAGCAAAACAATGTTGATAAAAATGTTTATGAAAAAATCATTTGCAATTCACATCAAAATAATTTAACATTCTCTATTATTTTAATAGTACAAGCTGCAACAACAGAAAAAAGAACAAATATGCGCACACAACTTTAAATCAATTCAGTTATAAGTGCAGAAAAAAGTAAGTACAAGCACTTTTAGCCCACATAAATCTTTTAGAATTGGCACCATCTCTCTAAAACATCTATATTCTATATAGATTTCTAATTACAACACCACCAGCAGCTGCCATTGAATTCTAGAAATACACACAATATACATAGTATATTTGTTCACATTGGAAAGATCAGTGAAATTCAGCCAACTGTTTTATACATGCCTCATTTTACAATTGATGGTAGTGAATTCTCCCAGGCCTTAGCCCCTCTTCAAAATAAATTCTGATTTAACTTTATGCTTTCACTGATCTATATTTTTTCACAGTATAAAATTGTAAATGGTAACTATAGAGATTGTGACAGCTTGAGGGTTATTAATAAGCTGTTGCTAAATATGAACTCATATAATACCTTTGAAGTCTCCAAAACATATACATTTTTCTGGGAGACTAGCATAAGAAAGTGGTTTGTTATGATTTTTTTAAATTTTTATTTGTTTTTGTACTGTGTTTTTGTTCGTGTTTTTTTTTTAATCTGTTTGTTTTGCTTTTTTTATCCTCAAAAAGAGTGATTAATTCCTGTTTTGAAAGCCACAGAACTGCAGCCGAGCCGTTAAATTTCTTTACAGTCAGAAATACCCCCTAGCTGTTCTGATCACTTGCTAGGACCAGTAGTAGCTTGGGAAAGACTCTTAGTGAAGATTAGCACTTTGGGGGATTTACTTTCTCTCATTGCTTCGGTCAAGTCTCTCATGATTTTCCTTTCCACTTCTCTCTCTGTTCTTCACCCTCTAGTGAGAAAGATGGTTCTTTGCAATGCAGTTATGATCTTCTCACACTGCCAGGATAGCACTCCCAGAATAGAAGAAGCGAGTTTATCAAACCAGCTCCTCTTGCTTTCATCACGGGACCAAACGCTCCTTTAGTGGTACTTTTCTGAGTCTCAGAAACTCAAGGATAATTTCCCTCTCCTTGTAGCTATGTTGATCCAGACTGAATCATCACCTGGCACCAGGGAAAGATTCTTTTCAAGGAGATTCAACGAGAACAAGTAACCATATATTTGTAAAGTTCATTTCCTAGCCCTAGAATGAATATTCAGGTTTTGTGTGTGTTGTAGATTTATTACTTGGAACCTGGTAATAGAATTGGCAAAGAGACAGAGCATCATTCCAAAAGAAAAGATTTTAAGAATGCATTACCAACAACATTATGTCTCATATACAGTGTATTCAATGAAGTGGAAAAGGTTATGGAAATGCAGAGAAAACATATCTTGTCTGTGTCTAACTGATTGTTCTTCCCTTTTTTTATAGTTGCTTGATTATGAGTTTACATGAAATTATCAGATGGCAATTATTGGAATTAAGTTACAATTTGTAATAAATTTCCTCATAAGATAATGTGCTTAGTAAAGAAATTGTAAATGAAGTTTTAAAAAGTTCTGATTAACAAAGGAAAATAGGCTGTTTTTGAGGATAAAGTGGAAAGCAATCTTAGGATTTTATGAAACAAGTTTTAAAATAACATTTAAGAAAGGCTTTGATGTCTTAAGAAATCAAGACAGTAACATTTGAACTAATATCACTGTATTCATGATGATTTAGGATTATAAATACTTCAAAATATTTGTCATTGTTTCTCATGTAGATACAGATATTTGCTTAGACACACTCATGAAACTTAGCTAGATTTTATTTCTTCTATTTCAGGAGTTTCTATTTACATGGGATCAGGGTGCTCTGATGATATTATTTTCAAATTTAGCATAGGAAGTTTGATCTTTTGCAAATGAGCATTTTAGTAGGCTAAGGTTCATCTTACGATGTCTGATGAAGCAAGATCTGATTTAAACTTTACCAAAAAAAAATCAATAAAATTCAAGAAGCAATATATGCGGTATAACTTTTAAAAGTGGAGAATATTAAATTATATCAATATATAAATTTCCATTTCAATCTTAATATTGTTTTTTAAAGATACCTGTGAAATGGAAATATATACCAAAACATAGGAATTGAGCTAAAAGAAAATACTTCTTTTTCCTCTCTGCCATAAATATACTTTTGCCTCACAGCAAAACTTTCTAATAAGGCTATCTTTGTGTAAGGCTGGGTCAAAGCAACTTAGAGTATTAGGATACCTCCTCCTTTTTATTACTATCCTTATTTATAAAATTAAAACATTTGGCACCTGAGGATAGCTGTAATGGGAGGAAGAAAGAGACGACAGTGGTTTCAGGTCTGAAGCTATGAATTCTACCTATATAAGCCTATCAAATCATATGTTTCTTTTTCAACTTTAAATCTCTTTCCTGCAGTGTTTAAAAAGTGACAGTATGAAGTGCACAGAATTATAATTTTTTTTTTCTAAAAGGAAAACACTAGTCATTGCTTTGTCTCTTTTTGGAATGGCTAAGAAAGATTGTGTGGTTTGTTTCATTAAGGTTCCTCTATTATATTATTCTGTATTGCTTTGAAAAAAATCTACATTTGTCATAGTTCATAGCTGCCCTATTTATGCAGCCAGGAAATGTTAAAATCACTGCTGGCTGGCATAGCTAAATCTCTGCTAAGCCAACTTGATACAGTTTAAATTTCCAGTGTATTAAGATTTTGTTAATTCTCCAACCACAGTCCCTTCCATCCTGATGTGGTCTCTGTTGGGTCTATGGAGAACTCTTCCAGTAGTGGAACTCAAAAAGAACAGAGGGCCTCTTTGTGCATCTGGTTCTCAAAACAAAAGAATGAAGAAGCCCACACGTGTAGTTGAATAGTTAGGCTGGCAATAGTACTGTAACAGCATTCGTAAGAAGTGGCCATGTTTCATGAATGAGATAGCTGGGCTGCAGCTCAAGAATTATTATTATAAAGAGAGATTTCCAGCTATACAATGCACCCCAGTGAGGGAATTAGAAAACAGTGTTCCAGAAAATATTTTTTTTTGCTACTCCAGTATTGATTGGCAACATGGTGAATTAGTCAAGAAATCTTCCACTGGTTTTCTTGGTTAATGGAGGTGAATCTGAAAGAACTAGGTGGAATCCTGGATGCAGGCTTCTAGGAGAGGATTTCACAACCAAAATTGAGAAGTCTACCAGAAAGCCCCTACTTCTTAGTCCAGCACTCACTGTCTAGTTTTGTGTTAGGCTTGAAGCACTCACAACACTTGAGGAAACACTGGACCCAAGTTCTTCCTTTATAAGGTCTCTAAAGGGAAGGACAAAAGAAAGATAAAGCAGAGAGGTGCACATTTGGTCCCAGATTTTGAGTTTCTTAGAAAATGTACATTCATGTTTGGTGAATCAAAGAATCTTCTGGGAAAAGGATTAAAGTAAACAAAACTTTTTTTTTTTATACAGTTGCTATTAACTATGCTTTCCTCCCCCTCCATTGTGCCTTCTGACACTCACTGCTTTCCTAGAGCAAAGCACTTGATATGTAACTTTTTAACAGACTCCTTGTCAGCCCTCAAAAATATAAGCGGTGTTTCTTAAAAGCCCATGTTTTCTAAGGCCACTAGAAGAAAATCTGCCAAAAGATTTGTAGTTGTTATTGTCGATTGTTGTTAAGTAGCACTATTTATCTCCAGGTTCCATTACAGGCGTGGGCGTAATTGGCAACTCCCACCTTGGGTTATAACCAGGTGACTATGTTTGTCCCTGGGTCTGTGTGAACATGAGGGTCTCAGGTCTTTGCACATGGAACTGCGCATGGTTGCCAATGACATTCACAACGATGAGGAGCTCTGAGTGTAATCTCTCACGATAAGTGTGTCATATTTGGGAGATGACGGGATACACAGGGCCGACTCTGACACTGGCGAGTTGGGAGTGGTACTCCCTGAGTCCACTGAGTCTCTGAATGGGGATGGCGGGGTGAGAGCCACCAACTCCTCCAAGTCTGGCTTGCCAGCAGCAGCAGCAGCAGCAGCAGCCACCTCGGGCCCCGCCACTGGGGTCTCCCGGGCAGGGCCCCCGGCCTGTGGAGCCCCCACCACCGGCTGCGCACCGCCTGTGGCCTCCATGGCTGGCAGAGGCTGAATTTCGGCGAACGTGGTCATGGTTGTGGGCAGCTGGATCTCTTTGGGGATCAGGTAGGTGGAGCAGAGCGCGGTGCCCACGCCAGGGCTGGGCGCCGAGGTGGACAGCATCATAGAGTTGAGCTCGCTGATGTTGGCTGTGAAGCGGGTCACCACGCTGCTGATCTGCTCCATGAGCGATCCCTGCGAGGAGCTGCTGCGCGCTGCGGGCTCTGAGTGCAGCGAGGGCACGTCGTCGTCGGTGCGGCTGGCCGAGCCTGCGCGGTGGCTCAGCGTACTGATGGGTGAGGGCGAGCGCGGCCGCGTGGGGGCCTGGAAGTGCTCCTCAGCCTCGGCCACTTCATACAGCGCCTTGGGGCCCGCGTCTGGAGGCTCCGGCGCGCTGGGCGCGGTGCTGGAGCAGCCTGCACCACCTGCGCTCGCAGCCCCTGGCGAGCTGCTGCTGGTGCCCAGGCTCCGGATCTCTGTGCTCTTGGGGAAGGGCTTGATGATGGCCGTTTGATTGGGGTTCTCTTTCTTATTGATGTGAATAGACAGACGCTGCCACAGGTGCTGCCCCCGGGTGCTCTTCTCATTCTGGGCCCAGGTGACTGATTTTCCATTGGAGCTGTGGAGAGAAGGGAAATGAGAGGTGACTTAGATCCTTAAGATGTTTTGATGTGACTTCTCAAGTGGTCATCTATGGGGCTTGGCACAGGAAAGGCTTTACATAGTCTTTCATGAAAGAGAGAAGAGAAAGATGCCATGAGAAAAGATTATGTAGGAGTGGCTTTTGTTTTGATTATCTGACCTTCAGTTTCTAGTCAATGAGATGGATTTGAGGGTAGGTGTGCCAGGGACAATGAGGTTGGCTCTGGATAAAGAAGGGATCAGAGCTATTGTACTTAAAGTTTCTAGGAGTCGCAAGTGACTCAATGGCACACAATAACACCAAAAATGTTATAAAAGTGTGGCAAAGAGCCCCACATCATAAGTATTTCTAGGGAGTTTACAGTAGTCAGGAGCCTGCCAGTGGGTGCTGGAAGTGTTTGTGCTGCACCCATGAACAGAGTTTCTACCATGCTGAGTGCAGAAAGGGCCGGCACATGGCAAGGCCTCCCTAATGTTAGTTGCTTCTGGAAGGAAGCAGTGGATTTAGAACCTAGAGAAGGCAAGCCGGGGAGCTCTGATGTTGCAGTCGGTCAAGAGTCACACTCCTAACCCAAACGCCACAGGTCTTTGGCCATGCTAATCTTTCCACGGGAGGAAGATGGGCATCTACTCCCGTGTGATTTAGTGCCTTGGATACCCAGTGGAGGATCAGCTATGAGTCAGTTTCAACTCAATAGCAATGGGTGAATGAATAAAGGCATGAATAAAGGTAACCGGATCAATCATCATAGGAAAGGGAAACAGTAAGCAGTGGATAGCAGCAGAATAGCAGAAATTAGAGAGTGGTTCTGCAATGGACAGTTAAAAAAGAAAGAAAGAAAGAAACCTGAACTTTTATCTCACCCTACACTAATGGCTGGGGCTATTGTTAGTATCTTAAGGAAAGGAAGGATTTTCTCAACCTGTGAGCTTTCCTATCCTTTACACTCTCTTGAAACCTTTCTGCTGGCCTTACCTATCCGCTCCTTCAATCTTTGGCCAGAAGTTAAGTCCGCCCTTTTAAACCACAAAATATGGATAACACCAACTCCCTCTGGCATATTGATAAAACCTGGTCTAGGATGTGGCCACTAACTCATACACCTGGGAAGAGAAGATATTGTAAAAATTCCTCACATTTTGCTGTCCTGTCGTGTCTTGGTATTCAAGTCAGGGGGATTTGAAAACATCATATCTCTGTCTCCTGCACATATTGTTGGTTTATTTGTTTGGCAATCCACACAATATTTTGCAATCTTCACTAATACCACAATCCAGAGCAGTTCCACTTTTGCCATCCTTATTCATTGTTCAAAGTAAGACCTGTCTCCTATATACTGGTATGTAATACAATTTCTACTTTTCTACCCTGCGCCCTGCCTTCCCCCTTCCATCTCCAAGATTCATTTTTGGGTTGCAGATGGCAGACTCATAACTTTGCAATGCCAGTTGTAATTTAGTTTTTCTTCTGCAGCCCAGTGGTTGCAGGTTGCAGCATTTAACAAGAGATTTCTGTCTGAACTCCTAGTTTTCAACATTCGTTTATAAATTAGACTAACTACTGGAATATAAAACTTGGTGAATACTACATTTTAATTATAACTTTGATACTTCATACCACTTCTCACAAATTTACTTTTATGCCTAAACGTTGAATACAAATTCTATGAGGGCAAGTGCTAGAATTAAGGTCTTGATGAATGATGTCTGACTGATTTGATATTTCCAAGTTTTTCTTCCTCTTCCCTTGCCCCAGCAGTCTTTCCTGGTTTCTGTGCGTAGGTCTGAAAATGGCTCTGATGAAAACTTCATCAGTGCCGAGTCTTCAGTCTGTCTTTTCCCTCCTTATCACTAACATCTAACACAGACTGAAATTATACAGTCTCTAACAGGAGCCTCACATATGCTCAAAGGATGTGGCTAGTATTTTGGAAATGTACACAGAGATCCCTGTTAGGATCTCACAACTCTGTTTTAAGTGTTGTGACTAAGAATGCCAGGTCAATCTGGAAACAAAGGCTTTGGAAAATCCATTTTATCATTTCAGTGGTAATGAACCTTAATTGTGCATTTGTCAGAGATCCCTGCCTGAACCCAAGAGATCCTCATGAGCCAACTGGACTAATAATCTTATGTTTTTTAACATGTGTCCAATCTCCCCAAAGTGATCCTGGTGCTAGTGTTTCACAGGCTGTCTACTGGGGAGCTCATGACGAGAAGCCACCATCTCTGTCTGGGTTTCCCTTGCTCCCTTGGTCTCCTTGCTGGAGAGCTAACTAGTTTGCCAAAAGCTTGAACCTTGCTTGGAACCCACCTACCTGGCGATTACCTGGCATGTCTGTAGTCCTTTAACAGTATGCTACTTGATTCCCACACAGCTCACCTTTCCTTCATATTACCCTTTCCATTTTGCAGTCTGCGCTTGCTTGATTCCTTTCTCTTTATCTCTTTACTCTCTGTGATTTTACTCAATATTTTGCAAACTGATTTTGTCCAAAATTCTAAAATTTGAGGTTCTCTGAGTCCCCACTTCCTGAAAAGGATGAATCACTTTCAAATTTTAATGTCGGGATACATCATAATAGCATAAGGGGTATTGACAACCTGGAGACATTTATTAAAGTTTCATTATTTCTTTTTCTGTTACTCATATCTTGACCTGCAGTTGTTTAACCCCAATACATTACTTTGCTCCTCAGATTTCTACTAATTTTAGTACATATTACCAAAGAGAATGAATTGGGAGGATAGTTGCCAACTATTCCTTTTGCTTTCTATTAGAGGGATTATAAAGAGACGAGTGGTTTACATCCAGTTTGGCTTAAAATGATGGAATGTAATTCTAGCTGTTAACAAGGCAATTTTTTTTTTGGAACTGCATGTTGCCAAGAACCAAAACATGATAACTTATTGAAAAACCTGAGGATGAATATGAAAGAAAGAAAGAAACTATCACAAGCAACCTGTCCTGCACCAAGCACTGACTTTCTCCCTGGGCGGGGCTTGGTTCCAGAGTCCTCAGCATGCTGATGAAAGGGAGGACAGACAGCACTGAAGATATGTGAGTAGCAAGAGAAATGGGCAGAGAAGACATGGATGCTTCATTTCATGCCGCGGGTCATGTAAGACTTCCTCGACAAAGTAAATAGGGACTTTTAAAGAAAAGCAAAACAAAGCTGACCAGTGGCAGTCTGTGTATTAATAGAATGTAATACAAGTTCCACAAAGATAGGAACCTTATCAATGTCACTCAGTGGCACACAGCAGTATATTAAACATTTGATGGATGATAAATAAGAGTCCCAATAAAGCTACATGGGTATCTTGAAAAAGTCAATTGACAAAGGATCCTAAAGCCCAGATCCATGGAAAAGTGTAATCTCTAAACTTCCATAAAAAGGAAATAGTATTTCATTTGATCAAGATTGTTGTGAGGATTAAACAAAATAATGTAAGGTGGAAGAAGGGTCTGGGAAGGAAAATAAGCTTAAAGATGTGTTTTTTGCACTCCAAAGGACTATTAAGTCACATTTTTTTTAAAGTACATAAGTAGTATTTTGAGCTCTGGTTTACGTAGGAGAGAAATCAATTCAAAGTAAACCTTGTCAGAGACATTAAATATTCCTGACTGTTTCCCACCTTTAGTCAAAAATATTGGAGACCTGATATGGAGCTAGACAAGGCTAATCCTTGGAAAGGGACATCCTACTTGGAAAGATGGAGGGTCAGAGAAGGAGAGGAGGACTACCAAGAGATGAATTGATGTGGTGACTTTAGCAATGGACTCTAGTGTGATCTAGTCTATGTGAAGTAGATGGCATAGGACAGGACAGTGTTGGCTGTTCACAGAGTCGCTATGAGTCAAATTCAATTCAAGGGCACCCAAAACAGTAGAGTTTTACCCAAGATCCATCTTTTGCTTTGTCCTGATACTCTCTCTAGGTGAACATTTCCACTCCACTGAATCCACTTTATTTCTCCTCCTGAGACATTTTCTCTTTGTTCTCCTAGTACTCTTCAATCTCCTCCTTATTTAACAAGTTGTTACTCATTTTTGTTTTAGATATTTTTTGTCTTCCTGAATGATATTACCTTGACTCCCTCTCTCTTCACTAGTTGAGTTAGATCACCATAGATTCTGCATTTCAACATACGACTCTATTGCATGACTACTTTATTTGTTAAATAGGGTCCTTGAAAGTAAAGGCAGAGAGTTTGAATTTCTTGTTACATCTGCGGTACTGATCATATTGTCTAGATCATGTAAGTACTTGCTCTATAAGACTTCTGAGATAAAATGTATATGTAATTAGTGTCTATAAAAATTAAGTTATAAAAGTAATTCAATAATACTAAAATTCCAATTTTGTATTTTATATCATTTATTCCCCTACAACTCAACATATACAGAAAAGGGAGCTTTGATGGCTTTATGATAAGGCGTTACACTGCCAACCCCAAGGCACTCTTTGAATCCATTAACTACTTCACTAATGACACTGGACATACTCCGAAAGCCTGATGGTCGGGAGTTGCTTCCCACTAAATGGTACAGAACAACAACAACAACATATACAGATAAATATATATTTAATTAGCTAAGTAGTTTTATCAGTATTCTTGCCATACATTTCTGTTACCATATATAGTAATAACGTTTTAAAGGGAAATTGAGACATTGACTGAGAAGTTGACTGTTGTTTACACTCAGATATGATGTTCCAAATTAGGTGGAAGAGTTTTTCAGCCTTTTCTAAAATGTTATGTCTTAATTTTTAAAGTTGCACCAAGAAATGCATCATTATATGCGTATCATTATATCATGAGAAAATGACAAAATCATCTGTATAAATTTCCCCAGTTAGAGTAAATGGATATGAATCACTAGCTCACTGACAGAAACAATTTAAATGGTCATGATGATGTGTGAGTTGCTAGAGCAAACTCTTGAGGAAATGGAAATGAGCTTAAAAACTA